CTGGCACTCTGAGACCCGGCCTTGATCTTCAAGGTACGACTCGTCAGACGTTGGTCCGTGTGCGTCGGACGCGACAGTACACACTTAGGGTGTCGGAGGTTGTACATCCGTCTCAGCCCTTGTCTCTCAAGTGAAGGCCTTAAGTAGTGTACGCTACTCTCGTTTTGAGCCAGTAGGAGCAGTGCTTTTTAGGAGTTACTCTTGAGTAGCTTTCGGACATGTCATCAGGAGGTTTCACCGAGTGTCGGCCAAGTCCAGCGCCCGCCAAGCGCAGAGCACGCTCGCGCAGCGTTCAATTGAAAATTGTTGTTGTTGTTGTTGTTGGTTGTTGGTTGTTGGTTGTGGTTGTGGTTGTGGTTGTGGTTGTTGTTGTTGTTGTCGTTGTTGTCGTCGTTGTTGTTGTCGTTGTTGTTGTTGTTGCTTCGCTAAATTTGGCATCACGCCCGCAGGCTCTATGTTTGATTTACACATGTTTCCCCCTTTAGGGGGAGTATATAGTGCTGTGTTTTTGATTTGTTCATGTTATCATGTAGAGCCCGGGGGATGCAAGACCCGTCGAATACCAATTCGACAAGATGTCCTCGACCTTCAGGAGAACAAAATCTGTGCTGTTGAAAGTGTTTAGCTTTTGAACAATGATTCAACATCACAATGTTCGCACTGCATGCAGTTTTTGGAGAAGATACGACGATTCCCTTTCCGTTATCGTACTCTTTAAGGCTTTAGCTTTGGAATCGTCTATCTTCGCACCTCACTCCCCATGCCTGATTAGTAACATTGGGTGGGCAATTTGCCCGGGGACGCTGACCCGTCCCCATGCCCGGGAGAGAGAGAGGAGAGAGAGAGTGAAACGCTCAGCAAGCAAGCAAGCAAAAGAGTGAGAGAAGCAAGCTGGCACATATCGGCGCCCGGTGGCATGTGCGCCTTGCATGTCCTGGTTTCAGTCTGATTTCAGCATGCTCGCCGACCTTGCAGCTGAGAGCGGCTTGGATGGTAAGCCAATCTGATACTGAATCATCGGTCTAATGCTGGGGCTTAGTTAGCACCGTCCTCCCCTTGAAGGTTGCTCCTTTGATGATTGCTCCTAAGGTGCTGGTATTAATGAGACGGAGCTTCCTTCTTTGGATGCCTTTATGGAAGCGTTTCGATTGGAAGACGATGCAGAGGCTGAGTCTTAGTGTAGCGGAGCAGTAAATCTTTTCTTCGGTTTGCTTGCCCTGTCCAGTTCTGTGCTCTTCCCAAGAAGTGAGCCCCATTATCTCGGTCTGATGCAGGCAGACGATGCCAACGTACAGGGTTTCCAGCCACCCTCGCCAGCATGGGAGGTGTCCAGAAAGTTGTAAGGTTTTTGTTTCCATACAAACAGTGTTATCCATGTAAGGTCTTTGTGCGGACACCTGCCTACACGAGGTGGATGCTGTGATTGTTCTGCAGCGTGGCCTTCGACGTGTGTGCACCTGGGGCAGCCGGTCGTACAGGCTTGTGGGGTCCTGGGTTGAAGCCTAGACCGTTCTCGACCTGGGCAGGCTGGCTTTGGCGAGATTGGCTGTGCGGCAATGCTTAAGCAAAGCGCATTCTGCCATACTGCGGCCCGTAGTCAGCACCTGGGGGGTTCGACTGACAGCAGCATGAGCGAGAGAAAACGGCTCGGGAACCAATACCTGACTACGTAAAGTTTGTTGACGGATGTGAGTAGGAGAGTAAAGAGATGGACTTGAGTGCCGCAAGAGCGTTGTGTGGCCTTGGAGTTCATGAGAAAAGTCCACAGTGAATTTCATTCGATTCTTGACGCTTTTTCCCAGTCCACCAGCTTGCTAGCACTTAGTTCACGGGTAAGTTCCGGACCATTACTCACCAGTTTTTGTGGCGAGACCTTCAGCCATGGCAGCGGTGCAGACATCGACAGCCACAGCGCCCGCTCGAATCGTGGCATGGATTCACCGTCGGAAGCTTCTTGGCTTCAAACTTGGCTGATCTCAAGCGGCATTTAGGAGGGCCGACGTTGTGCCAATTTGACGACTGCGCAGTCCGCAGATCTCTCAGCGGCTTCATCGCGATGTACATGCCGATTGCTGGCCAGGGTCGCGTGGCCAGCATCATCTGGACGCAGCATATGACGATTGCACATCAGCCTTGCAAGTGACTCCTCCTGGCCAGGCCCTCCAAGTCTGGAGCTCAGTTTCACGTCCGTCCGTCGTGGCCATGGCCCAAGAGCCGTGCCAAGGTACGCGAGATGTTGCGTCAGGCTGGATGCCACCTGTTTCGCTGCGGGCTCAGCCCCAGTTGGAATTTGTCGTGGTATGCGGCACTAGACTACCGACATCTGCTCGACATCACAGGACGCAGTCTTGACGCATGAGAGATGCTGCGGTGCCGTCCTCAAGTCCTGGTTGGCAACACGGTCGAGCACGGTTAAACCTGTTCCTGGCCCTGGCCGCCCTAGCCCTGCGGAAAGCCGGCTGCAGCTTCAGGCGAAGCGAAGCAGGCGAAGCATGCGAAGCACGTAAGTTGGTGGGGTGGCCAGGAGCTCCATGCCTGGAGTTCAGACTCGGCCTTGTCCAGACGCCAACCGCATGTTTTTGGCAGGAGATTCGCAGTTTTGCCCGTGCCTCAGTGTCGCAAGAATCAATCGACCCAGAATCCCGAAGTGCAGGGCATTCATAACCCTTTGGAAAGCACGGCCAGAATGTTGCCGTTTCAGGCGCACCTGGCCCTCTTCGTCATCCAGCAGCGTCTGCCCACAGCTTAGACTCGGACAGGGAGAGAGGGAGAGATTTTTGCTCTGCCTGCGAGGGGCTGTTTTCCCAGTGCCAGCTTGGACATGGCGAGCTGCTGTGGCAGAATCCCTGGCCGCACAGCGCACCGCACCCTGCGCCGTCGAGTTGGAGCCGAGCTCTGCTTAGGCAGCCCTGCATCGACACACCTGGGCTTCGACTGTCCGAGCCTTGTGGGAATTTTCTTTCACGTGCGTTGCGCCGCATGTGCTCGGGAGCTTTTGCTTCAGGTTGGGATGGTGGCTTCTCAAGAAAGCACTGCTGTGGTCGCGCCTGCAGTTTCTCAGCCTCTCCCTGGCCAAGAGAATCCAAGAACGAGCTGAGGCCACCTTTCTGAGCTGTCGCAGATCCCGCTCAAGCGCTCCCCTGAGCCGGTGTTCGCCGCCGTGCGCCGCCCGCTGCCGGGTGCCGTGCGCCTTGCGAGAGGCCCTCGGAATGCTTTGTGGGAACGGACTACACCTTCGAGAAGTGTTGCAGCACGCGGGACGCCCCTCGGTGCAAAGACCTTTTTGGACTGTCTGATGCTCGGGCATCCAGGCTGGCATGCTGCTGGGCTGCTGGGATTTTCGCTTCAGCCGGACACTTGCTCACGACAGGATACCATGGATCGAGTCTGATCGAGGGTATGAAAGCTGTTGAGGTTATGAGAAGTGCTGCGTTAACCAGGGTGCTGAGGCGGTTAGCTTGGTGTCAGCTTCCTCAGTGGGAAGGTGCTTGTGCAGTGGTTGCTTTTGCCATGGTGCTTCGTGCTTCGAAGAGCTGGCCGCAGAATCATACGTACATAGGCATGCATGCCCGTATGTAGGTAGAAATATTCAATGGCTGCCACCACTGCCGCCGACCCCCAGATAAATCGTGAATCCTATCATGAGCACACCTTTCCTTGCAGAAGGGGACCGGTGCAGGGTTTTGCGGCCCTGCTCTTCTCTTTCCGTGGCGGCGGTGGGGTGGGGGCGGTGGCAGGAGGCGGGGGGAAGGCCGTGGGGGCGGTGGGGTGGGCGGAAGGCAAGAAAACTAGCCCAGTGAAAGCGGTGAGGGCGGGCAGTTAGGGCAATAAACGTGAGTGAGGACGGGCGCTGGGGACAGGGGGCGGTGTGGAGGGGGTCTGGGCGCGTATTGGAAGCGTCTAAAGTCTAAATACTTCCGAAGGGCCTGGGCACCCGAGCCAAGGGTGGGGTAGTTGAGGCGAGGCGCCCAGGGAAAAAGCCAAGAGCAGAGCCTCGGAAAAAAACAAGCAAAACCCTTCGGGATTTCACAGGCAGGAGCCGCCCCAACGGGGGTCGGCGGATACGTATATCCATCGATCGTTCTTTTGTTCTCTCTCTCTCTCTCTCTCTCTCTCTCTCTCTCTCTCCTCTCCCTCTCTTCCTCCCTCTGTATCCAACCTCCCCTCTGTGTTCGACTAAAATTCTCGTACTCAGCTTCCAAATCCAATTTTTCGATATGCTTATATGATATGCATCTAGAACTTGTAGTGCATGTGTGCACAGGCCGAGCCCGCCAAGACAAGCAATCCAAAGTGCAATTCCGTTCCAGAAGTAGATGTTTGGGCTTGGTAACTTAGCAGTCATACCATCGCACATCCATGCTCAAGTCCCCTGTCTGTCTATATCATGCGTCCGATGTTTAAATGGAAAGACGCACCAATCAATGGAGCTGCCCCAAAAAGGGCAGAAGGAAACTCGAGAACACCAAGCTCGGTCCCTGGGAATGACCACTCTGGATGTGTCAAGTTTGCTTGCACCACAACAGTTAACACTTTGCTAGTCTTCTTTAGGAGCCCAGGTCATCTACGTGGCATTGACCCTTGCTCTTCATTAATGAAGGGACGCCATGAAGGGTTGAGCATCGTCTGGACTTAACAGTTGACCGCCGCCCTCAAGGACACGATATGACAAAACAGACGAGGACAGGAAACAAGGACCAAGACGCCCAAAAGCTTGGATGCAGGACAGGAGAGCCAGTGTGACATTGTTTTGGGAGGAAATGGGCGGAGGTTTAGGGGTCGAAAAGTGCGGGCTAACATACCTGCGGCTTGTCAGGTCCCTGAAGAACCTAACCGCACTGCTTGCAGCCAGTGCCTCGCCTTTTTGCGGCATTTGGGAAGTTGAAGCTCTGCTTTGAGTTGGCATCTACAGGCCAAAAGTCGTGGCATGTGCGATCGTGGCCTGGTGCCGCCTCCATGTTTCCAAGTCAGGGTCCGCAAATGCAGTTCCATTCGCAGTGCCCTTGAACCTGGCAGACCCTCCGCCACTGTCAACGACACTGGCGGCAAGTTCTGGCAGGTGGCAAACATTTGGTGATGAGTTAACGGAGACTCCTCATTTTCTGGTTTGTGTTCTGTCAGAGCCCAACGCTCGCTCACACGCCTCGCAGACCAAGCCTGAGTGTTCCAAAATCTGGTTGTTGCATGATGGCATGGGCTTGAGAATAGCGGCTGGCGACAGTGTAGCTGCAGTAATCACTTTGTGTTTCTTTGTGTTTTTTCTGTCCCTCTTTCTCTTTCTCTCTCTCTCTCTCTCTCTCTGTCTCTCTCTCTCTCTCTCTCTCTCTCTCTCTTCTCTTTGTGCCACTGCTGCGACTTGATCCAGGCAGAATTGTGCAGCTCTTTGCACTGTAGTCGCCGTCACGCAAAAGACATAGAGGGTTGTCGAACGAAACGGCTCTGGCGAGCATCAGCTGCTTGACAGTCTTTCCAAGCTCACAGGCACACGCCCCTGCCTCAGTGTGCATGTTAATCGTAGGGACCCTGTGGGGGGCAAGGAGGGGGGGCTTCATAGCCAGCCCTAATAAAGACTCGATAAGCGTCGTCTCAGGCCTGTTTAAGTAAGTACAGTACCCCGAACTCGGATCGCTGTAACCTGGCAGGCGTGCCGGTGCTCGTGTCGAAAAAGGCATGAGCATAATGGCATAATGGAGTTCGGGAGTATCCGAAGCTGCACTCACTGTGCTTGTCAGTGGACAGGTTGGAAGTTACGCACGACATTTGGCAGAGCTTCTCAGATGCACTTTCAAAAGGCACGGTGCTGTAGGTTGACTCCAGGATTGAGTTTCCAGGTACTGGCGGCGCCTCGGCTGCAAGCCTTTGATTCTCTTGCCTCTTGCGCCCTGTCAAGGTTGAAGTACCATACAGAAACTCTGCTGCCTTAGGTCCCGCCATCTGCTCGAAGCTGTTGCACAGGCATCCGCAATTGCACATGGGTGGGCCACACAGCCCGCGCGCACGATGGGCGCAGCTGGACAGGCAACTCCTGGCTTTGCTGTGAGCATCGCCCTGCATGCAGTGGTGGCCTCACTACAATCTCCGGTGCCAGTTGTCTCCTTGCCAGTATCACGTGCTTCATTGTGGCAGGCTGCTTACATATTGACAGAATGGCGAGGGGGCTTGCACGAGCCATACTTCGTGCGACCCCTTGTTGTCCTTTTCTTGCTTTCTGTGTGTGCATGCCCGTCGGGACAGGCTTTCCAACACGCTGCGACCTATTTGAAGCCAGCGCCAAAGTTTCTGCAAAATGAGGATGACATCGCCCGCTGGATGAACACTTCGTTAAAGATCAGTGCCAAGGTTGTATCGGGAACATGTGGGGCGAGTCGATCTCAAGGACCGTAGAGAATCCGCCCAAGAGCTTCTTGGGTATGCAGTCATTGCCACGCCCTTGAGAGGACATGACAAGCCAGGCGTGCACCTCTCTAGTTTCACATGTCCCCTTTGTCTCGTGCTTCATGCATGAGGTCTCCAATCCATCAATTGACTGTTTCAAGCAGACAGAGGTCAATATGTATCCGCTGAGCCAAATGAGAGAAGAGGAGTACTGCAACAATTCCACAAACTTGTCTGGGTTCTGCAGGCTGGCGGCC